GATCCGTATCTGCTCTTTTCCGTCCATAGAAACTAATGGGAAGCTGCTATTCCGCCTTCGACCACTGGAGGGGGATATTTTGTTTCTTTTTTTCTTAGGTCAAGAAAGGTTTAGGGAAGGCAGGGAAAATACAGTCCAGGCAGTACCAGGCAGTCCGAAGACTGTCTCCCAATCCACTCTCTAAACGCTGGGAGGAGTGAGGAAGCAGACAGGCACCCTTTTCACTGGCCAACAGTTAACTGAAAGTTCAAATGTTGCACTTTCCCTGCCTCCCACGTGGTTTTTTTTAGTTCTTAACTCAAATCTAAGTATGTAAGTCAAGTCAACATTTTCCTATGAGAGTGGTTCTTAATGTTCTTAACTCAAGCCGTTCTTAAGTCAAGACCCCACTGTATCACAGCTGTGGTCTCCCTCTGGGACGATTTTCCTGCACTAATTCTCCATACAGGAGATCTTTTGGAATCTAACCATCAGCCATTCTCATGACATGCCCAAGCCAACCACATACATACTGCTCTGATATTTAACAGATACGTTGGTTTTTGTATCTGTCATGTAATACCAGTCAATGTTTTTATAGTTTTGACTGTACCTCGTGTTTTTAATAATGATGATGATGATGATGATGATGATGATGATGATGATGATGATGATGATGATGATGATGATGAATACATCAAGTCAATTCTGACTTATGGTGACCCTTTTCAGTGTTTTCTAAGTAGAAAGTATTCAGGTTTACCATTCTCTTCTGAGGGCATCCTAAGACTGTGAAGCTTGCCCATAGTGGGGAATTGAACTCCCAGCATCTGACTCCACAATCAGATGCTTAATTCACTGAGCTATCCAGTCAGTATGGATTGTTTATTCCAAGCTGTATTGCTGATCTTTGATTATTTAGCTTTTTTTCAAAGTTTCCTGCCTGGGATAATGGAACAAGTATATTAGATAAAGCCAAATAAATGATTATCTACACATATCCATTCTTTTGCTCATCTATGTTGGACTAACAAAAGTCACAACCAAAAGAAAAATTGTACATTTTTAGCTTGAGATCACTGCATATAGAATGTGATTTTGACACTGATACACTAGTGGCACCTTGTATCAAAATCAAAGGGGTACTGTTTGTGAGACATTTGTATTGTTTCATTCTGTGACTATATGAACTCAGTGCCATTATTTCTTCTGAGCATAGAGATAAGTAGGGTTTGAAGCTTTCACGGTCTTTTGAGAGCTCTGTAGCAAACCATGTGCTTTGCATGTAGATCAGTGTTCCCCAAACTTTTACGGTCCATGGACTGGCTGGGAAAGACAGGGCACCTGTGAACAAGCATGCACACTCTCTTGCATGGGTGGGCGCCCGCCCGCACGAGTGCCGTGGCGCCATTTGCACATGCAGGTGGCCGCAGGCCTGCATGAGCGTGTGCTGCCATTTGCGTATGCACACGACTGCTCGTGTGCATGAGTACATGGCAGTGTGCGCTTATGCGGGCCTGTGCACACCCACACGCATGTGCAAATGTCAGTGCAGCGCTCGTGCGGGCAAGCCAGAGCATGCACGCAGGTACAAACAGGCAATGCAGGGGTGAGTGCACATGAGAGTGGGGGAGGTATCTCTCGGCGGCCCGGTCTGGCCCAGGCCAGGGACCAGGACCGGGCTGGGGACCGGGGGTTGGGGATCGCTGATGTAGATGATCCCAGATTCATTTTCTGGCAGTTGAAAGAATCAGGTAGTGGGTGATAGGAAAGTTTCTGGAAAGTTATTGGTTGTCAGTAAGATACAGGGCCATCTTATGCTCTTATCATAAAGTCCTAAAGAATTTGGGACCAGCCTGCCTTAGGGATTGCCTCGAGCTTTATGTCTCTGTCTGGTCATTACCAGTAAGCAGCAAATTGACACAAATTGAGAAATCTCCATAGGCATTATCTGTTGCGTGCCAAGTTGCATGACTCAGTGTTCAGCATATAATGACAGCCATCTGTCTGATCTTCTTTGATTTGGGTTCCAGCATTGAGCAGGGGTGGTTGGACTCAGTGACTTTATGGACCCCTTCCAATTCCATTATTATATGATTTGGTGGTTATAGTTCTCAGAAGAAGCTCTGTATGACTCAAGGTTCAACTTGTGATGTGAGTAGTGGCAATGCAGCTTGACATCATGAAGGTGACATATGCCAGCTGAAATGACCTAACTTTTAGTATTGAATTTGTGAAGGTTAAGAAATCTTCATAGACATTATCAGCTGCATACTGCATTGCACAACGTGGCATGCAACAGGTAATGCCTATGGGGATTTCTCAGCTTGTTTCAGTTTGCTGGTAAAAGTAATGCTTTTAACATAACTACAAAACAGGATTCCAGCCACTGAGTGTTGAATTCTAGACCTCACCTGAAAACTTGTCTCTTTCGTCAGCCTTTCTCTGAGGTGTGACCAGTCATTTAGTTACAAGTTAGCATTTGGAGTTGTTATTGTAGGCACTTCTCTGATAATTCTGTTGTGTTGCAACATTTGTCTGTGTATGAACTGAGGAAACAAGTAGCTATGTGAGGTAGGGAGTTCTGGGAACTGCAGTTCAAAAAAGTAATTTTTTCAAGCCTTACATAATATTTTCAGGAAAAACGTAAGTCCTGAAAACTTACAAAAAGGAAAAAAAAAGCTTCTAGTGTATGTAGCTCCTAAAGAGTAAATTCTGGTTTTGTTTCCTTTGCTTTGAATTTTTATGGGATAGGGGCTTAGGGGACCCTACCCCAAGTCCACAGTTGGAAAACTATTGTGCTCCAAGGCCTCCAGGAAATGAAACTGACCAATTACTGTTTTAAAAGAAATCTTTTTGAGAGGATTCTTGTGGGCCACAAAATGCTTTGGGAAGGCGCATGCAAGCCTCAGTCACCCTAACCTCATTCCACCAGCTGGCCTGCAGTACCAATAGTATGTTCTGTCCAAAGGCGAAGCCCTTGCCCCACTGTATTTGAGAAACTGTGGCAATATGGTAAAAATCCTAAATCTGATAAGCAACAATAATAGGCAGTAGCTCCAAATTATTGATTTCACAGAATAGGTTTTAGAAATTGCAGTGGTATCTCAGCAGCACTTCCATTTATGAGAGGACTCCCATAGGTTTTTCTGCTCTGGGAGGTGAACATTTAAAGAGATTGCAGCACTTCTTTATCCTTGTTGAGCAATCTGCATAATTATATACCTAAGCATTTCAAGCATGTTTTTGTGTTGTTTCATCTTTCTCAACGCACATAACCATTAGCAGTGAAAAAATGTATTTTCTCTCTCTTTTAACTCATTTTGGGTTTGTATGTTCATTTTAACTGCTTATTAGCTAAACTTCATTGCTAAACAACTGTTCTATAGACTAATTACTTTACTAAGAATAACAGATAAGAAAATGGAAACAGACACTTGATTATTTTGTGTTGTATTGTATATAGAGCAAGACCGTTAAATACCTCTGTTTATTCGAAGTTCTAATTATATCTTGTTTGACACGTGTTCCCATTTTATCTAATACATGGCTAGCTCAGAAACTGGAA